GAGGATGGGAGGGGTGAGTGCACGGGTAGTTAAGGGAAGTAGGACCCTGGGGAGCATGATGATTTGTGCAAGCCTACTGACAAGGTTGGCCGTTCAAATCCACTCAATGGTGCCACAAGAGAAAGGCTTGCTTCCACCAAGATTATAGTCAAGAAAACTTTCTAGAATGTAGTGGTTATATGTTGGGCTGCGATTCGCATGGTAGGCAGTTCGAAGCACCAGCAGCTCCATGAAAGACTGGGCTTTCTACTCACGTCACCAGTTACAGTCCCGGAAACCCACAGGGGTTCGCTGTGAGGCAGCATTGACTGGATGGCAGTGAGTACGATCTACTACTAACAGGAGTACTACCTACTCCTGTTCTGAGGCTAGATGGAACCTGTGGGAGAGAAAAGCCCTAGTTCTCTCTTCAGTACTTAATGCGGGACCCTCCCTCGGGCTAGCTCAGGAACTGACAGTGCCCAAAGGAAAAAAAACCTGGAAGTCCTGCTGAGCCATCAATACCTTAGGGAAGAAGTACTCAAATGTTTCTCACTGAACAGCCCAGCTCTAGCCCGGTTTGCAGGGCACTGCAGTGCACAAGCATAACATGTCTTTGAGGTCTCCATTTCATCTTAAATATTCATGTGAGCTTTACAGTCAACTCCACAGTCTATCAGAAGGCCTGACTTGAGGATATGTATGATATGAGAAATGGTCTAGGTACTAAGAACAGTGGTGTTTAAACCTCTCTAGTACAGTCTTCTCATTTGTAAAATGGGAATAAGAATAAAACCTATTACACACACACATACACAACCCCAACCCTATTACCATCTTGTTGATTCTGACTTATAGTGACCTTATAAAACAGTGGTTCTCAACCTACCTAATGCCACAACCCTTTAATACAGTTCCTCATGTTGTGGTGACCCCCCAATTGTAAAATTATTTTTGTTGCTACTGTGATGAATCAGGTGAACCCTGTGAAAGTGTCGTTTGACCCCCAAAGGGGTCGCGACCCACAGGTTGAGAACCACTGTTGTTAAAGATTTCTAAAACTGTAGATGGTTATGGGACCAGATAGCCTCATGTTAGTCCCTTAGATTGGCTGGTAGGATCGAACCACCAAAGTTGAAGGTTGTTATGAAAACCGAGTTAATACGAGGACCTGAAATCGTGCTCCTACATGTTAACAGAGGAGCCCCGGTGGTGTCGTGGTTATGTGTTGGGCTGATAAACAAGCAAGCTTAGCCTTCGAAACCATCAACCGCTGTGAGCGAGAAAGATGAGACTTCCTACTGCCCGAATAGTTACAGTCTGAGAAACCCACACGGACACTTCTACCCTGTCCGACAGGGTCTCTGCGAGTCAAAATCGTCCCAAGTGATTTCTTTGGTTGGAAATGTTAACATGCTTCTTCCTCTAAGGGACAGAGGTGCGAGAGAGGCACACATCGGCGGGTCAATCCTGGTCTAGCACAGTGTCTCCTCTCCCCCCACTGCTCCTTTGTCATTTGCTACAAAAATATCAACATTACCCTTAGAGTGGAGAGACAGGCCCATCTTCTGGGCCAGAAGAATCCACCCGAGTAAAGAAGAGGTGAGTAGGAGAGGGAGGCAGGTGGGGCCAGCTGGCGCAGGTGCAGTTCCAACAGCATCTGGAAGGTGCCAACCTGAGAGAGGCAGGAGAACAAGCACAGGAGTGCACAAAGGAGGCCCCAGAGAGGCGGAGACTGCGGCTCCAGTCCTGGCTTCATCACTGCCCCTGGGCAAGTGATTGGGTCCTCTGAGCCTCAGTTTCTTTATTGGGGAAATGAAAACCATGCCACCGTGGTAGTCATGGGGGGGTGGGGTGGGATGTCACGGTGTTGTCCTGGGCTATGTGTTGGGCTGCTAACTAGTCAGCAGTTTGAAACCACTAACCAATCCAAGGGAGAAAGATGAGGTTTTCCACTCTCAATGGCAGGAAGGGTTCTGAAATTTGTTATTTTATGGTAATTAAGCTGCCGTGAAGCTGTTGCGAAGATTACACGCCCGCCAAGAGCTGGGCATTGAAGCAGGTGCACAAAGCTGTGATGAGGGTGGCAGTACTTAAACAAGCCATGAAGTAGATTCCGAGTCATGGTTGGCTCTTACGTGTCACAGGAAAGGAGTGAGCGTCATCGCGTTTTCTTGTATTTTTTCAGGCATTTCTCCAGAGGCAGCGCTGGCTGGGTTAGCCCTGTTAGACTAGGGATGCCACCTGGGGGGCTGAGGTAGTCCTTAGGTGAGGGAGCACTGCACTCTTCAAAGGGGCCATCAGCTCTGTATCACCTACATTAGAGCTACAGCCAGGAACAAGCTTTTTGCCTTAATTCTCCTCTGTTCGCCTGCAGTACCACACAACTCATCCAGCGCGTGCCCCTCTGGCACGCTGATTTTGACCCCGAATTCCCAGCCTGGGCACCACCCCGTAGTGGGGGCGGCTCCTATGAGAAGGCGCCAGGTACCCGGTTAAGAGGCGCCTGGGTTCCATCGCCCCAGGTGATCACTCTTGGGGTCTAGAGCCAAGTTTCCTTTCCCATGTCTCCAGGCGGTCAAGGAGCGTACGGGAGTTCAAGGTCCCCGCGGGTGGGGTTCGGCCGGCACCACCAGAGGTGCAGGAAGCGCTCCTCTGGAACAGGCCTTTGGTCTTTGGGGTTGGTCGCGCCTGCCCAAGGAGCGGCTGAGGCGCGCAGGCACGAGCGAGAGGTTCAGGGCAACCCTGCCCCGTGGCCACTGGAACTTACTTGCAGAGCCCGAGTCCCGAGGGGGTCGCGGAGGGTGGAGGGTGGAGGGCAAGGGGAAAGGGGCGACAATATCCGCACTCCCCACTCCGGCGGAGGCTGGGCGCCGCGGCCGCCTTTCCCTAGCGCGCGCCGGCCGGCGGCGGCGATGACGGCGGCGGCAATCGGGCTCTTGGCACAGAGCCTGGCGGCCGGCCCAGGGCTAGGAGTGGCTTCCAGGAAGCGGGCGGAGGAGCGTTCCAGCCGAGTCTCGCCGTCGCCGCGGCCCCGCGCGCTCCGAGCGGTCCGGGCTCGGCCCCTCGGCGGG